GGCGGCGGCGGCGGCGGCGGCGGCGGCCTAAGGTCCCCGCGTCCAAGCCGTTGCTATGGCAGCGCCGGGGCTGGACCTGGAGCAAAGGACGCGCCAGCCTGCGCGCGGTCAGCAAGCGCCCAGGGCCCTGCGGAACCCGAGAAAATCTTATGCACACGTTCAAGTGGCTGCATCGGTGCCCCCAGAGAGGGCCTCTCCTAAACCCCAGCTGCCTGGGAAACCACCCTTTCCGGGCCTTTGCACTAGGCAGTCAGCGTCCCTAAAGGACGCTCCCGGAACTTGCTGTCTGGCTGCCAACCTCTGTTTATTCGCGCCTGTCATTCTGTTAGGCAACAACATTGTTAAAATAGATGAGACGAGGGGGACTGCCTGCGAAAGGGCACGAAGATACTTTGGGTGTGTGGCAGCACTGTTCTGTATTTCGAGCGCGCTGTTCCATTACCCCAACATCCACCATTTGTCACGATTCACTGATGGTGCACTGAAAACGGGGTGCATTCGGTATATCATACTTTAACCGGGTTGGTGAAAAATTGCACGTGGGGTATGTGGAGCTCACTATATTTGATGACGCATTTGCTACTTTTGGGGATACATGTCCAAAAACGTGAGGGTAAGTGGTGAAAAGGAGGAAACCTGAACCCCTCCCTCCCATCACCCTGACAGTTACCACGCACTTGAGAGGCGGCTGCATTGTGTTTTTTGGAGAGGCTAAACTAGCAGCAACTTGGAGATGTCAGGCCTCTCATTCTTGGGGTCTTCTGGGGGGCTGCCTGTGGCTGTCACACAGATGAATAAATCGAGGAACAGCCAGTTGTTCCTCAATCCACCAGGAGCCCCTGCTTGGCCCAACCATCAGGAAAATTGTTTTCTTTCCTAACAGCCAGAGACACAACAGGAGGAAAGAAAACACAATGCAGGTAACTGCAAGCAACATGCAATATCAATTATTTGAGTGTTTTCTAGATACTGTGAATTAGAAACCAACTCATCTGTAAGTGTCCAGCAAATAAGCACATTTCAAAAGGATTTCCATAAACCATGCAAATAGCTTTTATCAGAGTTTGGTTAAAAAAAAACACTATTAACAATTCACTACAGTTGGCAGAGAAGTCTTAAAAGTTAGATTTTTTCCCATTTATTTGCTGCCTGACCTAGAACATATAATAATGTCCGCGCCCAGTTTCCCTATCCTGTTGTAAAGCGTTAGGACACTTACCTGGCAGGTCTGTGGACGGTGGGCCCCATCCACTGGGCTGCAGATCAGAGGGAGCAAGGGCCTTGGCCTCGCTTGCTCACCGTTCTATCCCCAGCACCTAGCACAGGACAACCAAAGGCGTTAGCAATGTGCCCAGTAGCCACGTCGATTCGGGAAGATCGAATGAAATCAGGCATTTAGTTAAGTGAATGTTAACTCCTGCCCCCATCCCTCCAGTCCCCCGTGCTTCCGCCGGTTAGGGGGGTTCGTTAGTGCCCAGGCCCCAGGAGCTGACACCGGGGGCGGGGTGTCCGCGCGGCACCACTGCGGTGGCAGAGGAGGGGCGCGAGGCGGCGAGCCCACCACCGTTGCTCCTCTCTGTTCTCCTCCACCTCTCGGCCCCGAGCGCCCCGCTGTCGGCCACCCTCGCCCCTTGGTCGAATGTCGACCACAAGATGGCCGGAACAGGAAAGAAGGGGGCACGCTTTCCCGTTCCCCCGGCCCCATCACCCCGCAGGGCCGCCAGCGAGGCGCTGCGCCGCGCGTCCCGGGCGCACCGAGGCGACCCGCCGAACCCCTAAAGACAAAGGCCCGGGCAGCGGACTCCGGTGGGGGCCTCGGCGGTGCCCCTCAGAAAGCCGGCGGAGAATGGGGGCTGCGGCGGCCGCGCCTGCGGTGTCTGCAGCGCCTCAGATCGCAGCCAGGGAAGCGGGCGCAGGGCCGGCCTTCCCGGGCACCGATCTCTCCATCTGCCCGGCTCCCCGGACGCCTGGCGCGGCCCGGCCTCGGCTCACCCCAGCTGCGCGCTCCAAGGCGGGTGCCGAGCGCTGCGAGCCGACGGGGGCGACGCTGGGGCTCAGACCCCAAGAGCGCTGCTGGCCCAGGCGGAGGCCGCGGAGGAGCCGAGCGGGAAGCGGCGGACCGGCTGCTGCTTCCAGCGCGCAGGATGGAGCCTGTCTGCTCCGGGCAAGTTGTGGCGAGGCGGCCGCCACACCGCGCCCAGCCCTCTCCTGCGGGCGCCTCGGGAACCCCCACCCCCCTCCCGCCCCCCTCCCCTCCGCGGTCTCGCCCCGGCCGCTCCGCCCGGCGTCCCGGCTCCTCTGGCAGCTGGGCGGGACTGCGCGCCTGCAGACCGCAACGCTAAAATGCGCTCGGCCAATCCCACTGCTGGCGCAGACACGTGGTGCCGGGGCGCTGGCTGTTGCTGGCTCGGATGCTCACCCCGGGAAGGCCTTACAGAGAGCAAGCAGTCTCTCCCGCCGCGCGCTCGGCCCGGCCCTCAGCTAATTGATTTCCCACGGGGGCTTTCTGTGCATTCGCACGCAAGAGGAGAGTCCTTCCAATGCAGAAGTTGGCAGCTGCGAGGGACCTCGAAGAGGCTATCTAAGGCATCCGGCTTTTGAGCTACCTGGAAAAAAAGGTGAGGGAGAAGGATTTAGACCCATGGAGGTGTCCGCATCTCTTTCCGCTAAGCCCATTTTAGGATGACAATTTGGGTCTCTGTTGAGAAAGTTTGGCTGCAGGCCGGGTGGGGGCCCGATGTCGCGGGTCAGGAGCTCTGTGACTACTTAAGCCTAACTTTGGGACACGTGGTCTGACAATGGGGCAGAATTCTTTATGTTGGAATAACAAGGGATCCCCCCAAATTACTTATAATTACTGTTTACTTGCATTTTAGTAGCTGAAGTCAATCCAGATGTTGGGATTTGAGTGCATCGGTTGCAAAATCCTTGTGCCCGCTGTAGCAAAAATTGTTCTTCAGTTGGAAAGGAGTAACTGCAGTGTTTTTGCGCTATGACAGCATGTGCCTTTCCTTGTGCTTCTCTCCCTGAGTGAGCCAATTTTGTGCCATGCTTCACTTAGTGCAGGCTTTATGTATTTATCTTTTTATCTGGACTCTCTTGAAAGCATAAGGCTTAGGGACTTGATGGGATTTTAAGTTTGTCTAATTTCAAAGTGCTTTGAATTTGAAGGCGATCCCAATATCCCCATAAAAATCTTCAGTGTTTTTAGTAAAAGTAAACATTTCTTGGTAGAAATTGGGCAATATGAGTTAGCGAAGGTGTTTTGCACACTCTACACTCTGCTACCCTTTGTGTGTGGGGGTGGGGGTGGTGGATAGCTACTTATTTAGCATTATTAGTGATACAACATTTGAGTATATCACCTAGCAGATGGAGAGTCGGAAGAAATAAGTTGAACTAGTTGACTTTAACTTGGCATAGCAGCCACACACCATGATCCTTGGCACAAGTTTATTATACCAATGATCATATTAAATTTTTTAAAAATTATTTCTATATTCTCCATCAAACTGTGAAACCCTCAGATATTCAGCAAGTTCAGCACATGAATGCTCCAAAGATTGTTTTGGGAACACAAATTATCCTAAAAACAGGAAAAAAAAGAAATCTGGATGAAGATTGATCATTTTGTATATTTAGGAAGTAAATTAAAATGTTGTAGCTGAATTCACACCAGGGGCAGGATGTGGCCAGGTAGCCAGGGAAGGAAGGGGAGCCCTGGAGCTTGGCTGAGTCTCAGAATTTCTACACTCAGGGAGAGGGGAATTAGGTTTGCCTTTGGACAGGAGGAAGTATCAAATTTTGAGGTCATATTTGAAACCATTACAGCAGTCAACACCACAGTTGCCCTTTAATTATTCCCTGGTGGTGAAAATGCTTGGTCTCAGTCTCAAATGACAGTTGCAATGAACCATCAACCTAGCACCTTACTGGCTCAGGTCTGGAAGATGGACTTAAAAGATACAAAACCCTAACCTAAAAGTGACTCATAGCATTTGCAATAAGGTAAGAGACATCATATAAATCAGATAATAAATTCAGAGCTTGATGAAATGCCACACAATTGGATCCAACCTCCCCTCTGCAACGCCCCCCCCCCACATTACTTCAACACAACCAGATATTCATGGGGCCAGACAAACTTTTTTTTAAAGATTTATTTATTTATTTATACATACAGAACTGGGGTACAGGCCAGAGGTGCAGGGACAGTGAGAGACTTTACCAGAGACAGAGTGGGGAGCAGAACAGTCAAATCGACAAAGTACACTGCAAGGGGAGCAGTGGGTGGGTCAGGAGAGGTCTGCCACACCGTGTGGGTCACCTCTGGGGCAGGGATCGAACTCATACTAAAGTGACTTTTGTTGTGCTTTAACCTGCTGTGCCACCAGTGAGGGCCCATGGGGCCAGACAATTTTTACTGGAATCTGTCATGGCATGGAGCTGCCTGCTGGGATAACCAAGCTCAGTTTACCTGCGGTGGTTGACAACTTCCCTGAGACACCCTCACCTCCTCCTACTGCAGCCTGAGATCCGGGGATCCATTTCCATGGCAGTTCCTGCCCCCAGCACTTCAGGTTGAAAGGGTGCTGTCAGTGCAGAATTGTCCTGTGTTCAAGAAGTGGCCGCAGCATCAGTGCTCTGCACTGCCCTGCTACCGTCTTCTAGTGTGTCTTCTTGTTCTGCAGGGACTTGGAAGCTACCCAGATTCCCTTCCAGTTCCTAGTCTGCAGCAAACTGGCTTCTGTTGATCTTGAATGACTGAAGGACAGAAATGATAAGTTATTTTCATGCGGTGTTTTAGTGGCAAACAAGATCATTCAGATCAGGTGCCTGACAGGTAAAGGCGGCGAATCTGTGTCTGTTCATATCTTTGAATGGGGCAGGTGGAGTCAGCAGTGGCTATGCTGCTCTTTATTAAAGGAGGGAAATTTTGAACTCAACAGTTCCCAGCTGCTCTTTCCACTTCCCACTGCTCCAGCCCTTGGAGTGATGTTATAAGCATCTAATTGTGTATAAATACCTTACTGCTTAAATAACCTAGACTTCCTACATTAACCGTATGCTGGTAACCCTTGCCAACGTGTATTACTAAAAATAAAAGATGCCCGGGCTGGACAAATACAATCTTTCCAGTTCTTCATTCCCTTCTCCTGAGTCTTTGAATTCCTTCCTTCTTGCTTCTCAAGGAACTTCTGACTTTGGGCGTATGTCTTGTATACTCAGTGCACATTTTCTGTGGATAGTCTTTCCTAACTTGTTGCAGTATCTGGGAAGTGAGATATCTGTACACTCAACTTTACACTTGGCCTGATGCAGAATAGGGACCATGCTCTTTAATCTAGCAATCTCAAAATTCATGCTCACAAATGTTCTCCCAACTCTAGGACATAGTTAATTTTTTTAGGACATGTAGTACTTTAGTTAAGTCCTACAACTTTGAGATTTCAAACTTTTGTGTGCCAATATTTGAGATGGCCTCTTCTCTCTTCCCTACTCGATGCCCTGCTGAATTTATGTTCGGGCTGCCCTAGCAACACCATGACCTGCCTCTTGAGAGGAAACCTGTAAGATCTCATGTGCAAAGGTGGTGAAGCTTCCTCAATTAAGGAAAGCAGAGGAGTTATTTTAGAATGACTTAAGGTCTTCAGATCTCCAATGTTAATTGCACTCAAAAATTCATCGGAATTACCCAGAAGACATGTTAAAGCACAGATAGCTTACTTGAGCCCAGACTTTTTGGTGAAGTAGGTCTTCATCGACAAAAGCAGAAAATTTGTGTCTCTCCCAAGTTCCTAAGGTGCTGCTGCTGCCGCTGGTCTGATGACCTCACTTTGGGGGCCAGGGCATCAAATCTTGAAAATTTTTGTAAGTGTTGTCATTTCCACTTGTCAGGATCCAGTATCTTCTGGATCACTGACCTGCATGTGAAGACTCAGAAAGACTGTGAACCAGTTCACAAAATCAGTTTCTGGGTCTGCACATCCTCAGTCTTACAGCTTTAGATAGGAACTGATCCTGTCACTAAAGTCACAGAAAGAACAACAGTGCCATTCAGGTGAAAGTTCAAGATTTGATATTGTTCTCGTTTTCGATTACACGTCAGATGAGAAGTGATCACCCTGCCTGTTTGTCCAACATTCTTCATCCCTTTAAGCAGGGCAGAGGCAACAAGTACTTGGTCTCAGAGCCCCAAATTTAGTGGAAGAACTTTCCAGTCATGAAGTTAATAGATGCCAAAGATTCTTTTGCCTTTTAGCTAAATGACTAATTCCCGAATCCCCACATAACCATGCACTGCCCATTCTCAGACTCCAATTCCTCTATCGCCAAGTTCCCTTGCTTGTCAACCACAGTAACTGATTGTTATCTTGAAGAGCAGAAGGACACTGGATGGCTCACTCTGTCAGAGGAGACTGTGCTTTCCAGAGCTCAGGAAAGATGGTGGGGAGTCCAGGATGCTCTGTAGCTCCCGTCTTATTCACTGCCATAGAGATATCTTGGCCCCATTTACTGTCAGCCCTTTGAACATCTGCTCGAGATTTAAACTCCTGCAGGAGAATGTGATAGCCAGCCAGGTCACGCTTCTGGTAGGCTGTGGAGGTGGTAGAGGAAGAGGGCTGCTATGGAGACTCCCAGGAACAATTCACTACTGAACAGAACCGCACTGAGTGAGAGGAGGCGGCAGAGACCCGGGAGCCGTTACCATAAGGTGGTTCTGAGCCAAGGGTAATGTGAGTGAACAGCATCAACTCCTCCTCATTGCCACCCACTCTAGGATCTTGTCTTTAGGGGCTTTTCTTCAAAATGTTCCCTCTTCTAAGATTCAATATTTGAAGAGGCAGACAAGGCAGAATAAGGCGCAGCATCTTTAAACGAGCTGAATTTCCTTCTGTCAGGAAATACTTTCCCCCTCTCCTACAGCTTCTCTGTCCAGATTTTGGGTTCATAACCGTCCCACACTCAGGGAAGTCATTATTGTTTAGGAAAGGACAGAAAACCAGCCCTTTGGCAGGCACTTCCCCGTCCTTTCAGGCATCCAAGCCATTGCTCAGTCTGTTCCTTCTCTCTTGTTCTGCCTGCTAACTTTATCTTCACTGGGAAAGGTAAAGGGAGGCAGAGTTCAGAAGTGATTTCTCTCTCTCCCCCCACCCCTCTCTATCTAGTCCCCTATACACAACATTAGATCTTCATTCCAAATGGGCAAAATAGGTCTCAGAGAGCAATACACAGCCTACAGTCTAGTGATACCAGAGTGGCTGGTGAGCAGAACTGGTGTCATTTGGCTTTCACCAGATTATGTCAAGTACCAACCAACTCCCCAAGTATCCTACTTGGCAGAAATGCCTCATGCTTGTTTTACATCAGTTGTATGTTGTTTGGGGCTTTGTTCTATGTGTTTTCAGTTGTATGTTGTTTGGGGCTTTGTTCTATGTGTTTTCCTTATAATACCCAATGAAGGAAGCACCCCCGTCCACTCTTTTTTTTTTTTTGGCAGAATAACCAAGTCATACATTGGCTCTTGAAATCTCTGCTGGAAAGCACATCACCCCTACTCACAAAGCAAATCATGTGTAAAACCAGTGTGAATAGGGCAGACAAGTAGACTCTCAAT